GCCCTGGTCTAGTCCCTAATTTAGTCCTAGTCCAGTCCCAGTCTATTTAAGGTTCAGTGCTGGTTTAGTTATGGCTGGTTATGACCTGATTTTGTCCTGGTCTAGTCCAGATGTAGTCCTGGTTTAGTCTTGATCTAAGACCGGTCTACTTCTGGTTTAGCCCTGGTCTAGATCTGGTTTAGCCCTGGTCTAGTCCAGGTTTAGTCCAGGTTTAGTCCTGGTCTACTTCTGGTTTAGCCCTGGTCTAGATCTGGTTTAGTCCTGATCTAGATCTGGTTTAGTTCTGGTCTGGTTCAGGTTTAGTCCTGGTCTACTTCTGGTTTAGTCCTGGTCTGATCCAGGTTCAGTACTGGTCTAGTTCAGGTTTAGTCCTGATCTAGATCTGGTTTAGTCCTGGTCTGATCCAGGTTTAGTCCTGGTCTAGTTCTGGTTTACTCCTTGTTTAGATCTGGTTTAGTCCTGGTTTGGTCCAGGTTTAGTCCTGGTCTAGTTCTGGTTTAGTCCTGGTCTGATCCAGGTTTAGTCCTGGTCTAGTTCTGGTTTACTCCTTGTTTAGATCTGGTTTAGTCCTGGTTTGGTCCAGGTTTAGTCCTGGTCTAGTTCTGGTTTAGTCCTGGTCTGATCCAGGTTTAGTCCTGGTCTAGTTCTGGTTTACTCCTTGTTTAGATCTGGTTTAGTCCTGGTTTGGTCCAGGTTTAGTCCTGGTCTAGTTCTGGTTTAGTCCTGGTCTGATCCAGGTTTAGTCCTGGTCTAGTTCTGGTTTACTCCTTATTTAGATCTGGTTTACTCCTTGTTTAGATCTGGTTTAGTCCTGGTTTGGTCCAGGTTTAGTCCTTGTTTAGATCTGGTTTAGTCCTGGTTTGGTCCAGGTTTAGTCCTTGTTTAGATCTGGTTTAGTCCTGATTTGGTCCAGGTTAGGTTCTGGGTTTAGTCCCAGTGTAGATGTTTGTGCAGGTGAAGATAAAGTGTTGGGAAAGTGACAGTGCATGAATTCTTTGTCAGATCAGTGGGTTCATTTTAATGGAGCCTAAATGTTTTTCTACACAAATCCAGATGATCTTCAAATGTCTCTAGTCCATTTGTTCAGTTTTCAGAGTCCCTGAAGTCTCTTTCTTGATTAGGAGACATCTAAGAATCTTCATTAAAAATAACTGTGTGTAGTTTGATCTCCTGCCGCGAGCTGCCGTGGAAAAAGAATACAGGTAAAAAGTCGGGAATTTTCTCAAAAGTGCGTAGTCACAATAATCATTTGAGAACCTTAGGAAAACAAAGCATGAGGGATAACAATGAAAAGACAATAAGTGATTGTGGCCAACACCCCTCTTTGTAGCTTATGTAAAGGTAAAATGTTAAAGGAGAGACGCTCTTTACACCTGAGACTGCGGCGGACATCTGAGACCCACTCAGAACTCTCTCATCACAAACACACTCATGCCACACTTTATCTGCTATTCTGGAAAAAAAAAATAAAAAATTAAAAAAAATCTTCTTTTTATTGTTACTCACTATAATGTACATACTCAAACTGAAAGAGGGGCTAAACTGGGACTAAACCCCGGGACTAAAGAGAATTAGAACAGGATTAGATCAGGACTAGATCTGAACTAGACCAGGACTATACCAGGACTAGACCTTGATTAGACCTTGACAAGTCCATGACTAAACAGGACTAGATCTGGTCTAGACCTTGACAAGACTAGGACTAGATCTGGACTAGACCAGGACTATACCAGGATTAGACCTTGACTAGACCTGGACTAGACCCGTACTAGACCTTGACAAGACCAGGACTAGACCAGGACTAGAACTTGACTAGCCCAGGACTAGACCAGGACTAGACCCTGACTAGACCAGGATATGACCTTGACTAGACCAGGTCTAGACCAGGACTAGACCAGGTCAAGACCTTGACTAGACCTGGGCTAGACCAGGAGTAGACCTTGACTAAACCAGGACTATTCCAGGACTATACCAGGACTAGGCCAGGACTAGACCTTGACCAGACATGGACTAGACCTTGACTAGACCCGGACTATTCCTGAACTAGACCAGGACTAGACTTTGACTAGACCTTGACTATACCAGGACTAGACCTGGATTAGACCAGGAGTAGTAGACCAAACCAAACTACCTCAAACTGGGACTAAACCAGGATCTAACCAAGACCAAACCGAGCCAAGTGTGATGTGAATCCTGTATATGCTCTATACACTTGTACATATATCACATTAACTGAACTAAACTGGGACTGAAACTGGGACTAAACCAGGACTAGAGCAAGATGAAAGCAAGTCTAGTTTACGTCAGGACTAAACCAGGCGTAAACCAGGACTAAACCAGAACCACTGAAAGCTGTAGTTACACTCGTGCACTCTTAGAGGTTTGTTTCCATGTGTGGAGTTATGAGATGGAAATCAGATTTTTTTCCCCCTATAAGCTGCTTCTAATTGACTTAACACAAAAAAATGATAATAGTCTCTATTCACGTTTACGAACACAAACCAGGAAGACATTTGGAAACATGCGATGACAACTTCCGGTCTAGTTCCCGACACTGGGCTCACTGACCGACTGTGATCAAACGCACTGAAGTAAACATGACCAGTGGTAAAATGAAGACTGCATACGTATGTGCTGTTTGGAATCATCTGGAATTTGGCGTGCTCATGTACCCAGTGCGCTCGAAGTTGTGTGTCAGTGGGGAAATAATGAAAACTGAGGTATGGTTGTAATTGTTGATTCGCCGAATGTAACGGAACATTACAATGACATGGAGATGAAGAAAACTGGGACACTTTCTCACTTTTCCTAGATTTTGTAATGGGAACAGAGCCTGCCGGAAGTTGTCATTGCATGTTTCGAAACGTTTTCTGGCTTGTGACGTAAGCGTGAATAGAGCCTATTGCCGTTGTGAGCCTTGTCATTTTGGTCTAAAAATGTCCGTATTAACCCGTTCTACATGATCCTGTGTTTTTATTGTACTGTAAATAAATTCCTATTCTTAAAGGGCCCATCATGCAAAATAACTCTTTTCACATTGTATCTTCTGCACATAAACAAGCACAATTTGGGGTTTGGAACATCCATTACACAATAGTGATGAAATCTTACAGATTTCTTGGAGGCAGTCACAGACCAGGAACTATGAAAGGCCGACTATTGCTCATCCCCCCACACAGGCTCCGCCCTCCAAACGTGACGTAGGCTTTGAGTGAGGCGTGCAGCGGTAGAAATAAACTTTTCTTCATCATGGCGATACAGCACGTTCAGCCGCATGTGTTGGACCCGGAATTGGATGAGGACTTTGAGGTGCACAAAGCACAAGCACCGCGTCGACATCAGTGTGAAGCACTTTCTGCTACGTCAAACGCATCATAGGTGTAGCTGGCTGCATCATCGTCGTAGCAGCTTTAGTTCGTTGTCACGTGGGAGGGTGGCAGAATAACACTGCAATTTGTTTAAAAAAAAAGTCGAATCAATCTAAAAACCACTTCGGCGACATATACAAGGCCCACACATCACTTTTAGAAGGTAGAAAGGACTGAAAAGTTAATTTTGCTGGAGATGGGCCCTTTAATACGGATCTTTGCCCCCAATCCGACCCTATAACTGCTAGCCTCAAATACACCAACCACATCAAAACTGAGACTCAACTAGGGCTACGTTTATATGATGATGGTCTGAACAGAAGACGCAAAAGTGGCATCACGTCTTCAAGTGTTTTCAGGAGGAAATGTGCGTGCATACGGTGACACAAAAGTGTGTGGAATTGGATTGTGTATGCATGGCAGGTGGCTAGGCGGTGATGCTAGGTGGGGATGTATGTGACGTAAACGTGTACGTGACGTGAGCAGATCTGACCAGAGTTTTGCGTCTTGGGCAGTGTAGACGGAAACGCAACGGCGGAGCGTATTCAACTTTTCCACGCTGGAGGGTGGTTTCAGATTTTTGTGTTTTTAAGCCCCAAAAATGCCGTCACTGTCTTAACGAAAAGCACTTCCGATAAAATATTTTGTCATTTTTTTACCCGCAAGTGTTCTCGTGTAAACAGGCTCTAAGACTAAACCTGGACTAAACCAGAACTAGAGCAGAACATGTTCAGACTTTTGTTATAAAGTCGAATTATATAGAGCAGCTGACGCATAAAAGCTTATTTACTTACACTTACATCACATACACACACACACACTCACACACACACACGCACACACACACACACACACACACACAGTCCATGCACAGTATATATAGAGTTTCCATTTGCTACATATGTTCTAATTATAGTTTGTTTCTGCCCTGAGGCTTTCGCTGACATTTAGTATCATTTGTCCCAGTTTGGTCCTGGTTAGATCCCAGGTTAGTCCTGATGTAGTCTTGGTTTAGTCCTGTTCTAGATGGACTAAACCAAGACTAGAGCAGGATCAGACCAAGACTATTTCAGGAACCAAAGGTTAACTGGTTCCATTGCTCAGTTCAGGACTAAACCAGGACTAGAACAGGACCAAGCCATGCCAACATCAGGACTAAACCAGGACTAGAACAGGACCAAGCCATGCCAACATCAGGACTAAACCAGGACTAGAACAGGACTGAGCCAAGCCAACATCAGGACTAAACCAGGACTAGAACAGGACTGAGCCAAGCCAACATCAGGACTAAACCAGGACTAGAACAGGACTAAGACATGCCAACATCAGGACTAAACCAGGACTAGAACAGGACTAAGACATGCCAACATCAGGACTAAACCAGGACTAGAACAGGACCAAGCCATGCCAACATCAGGACTAAACCAGGACTAGAACAGGACTGAGCCAAGCCAACACCAGGACTAAACCAGGATTAGAACAGAGCCAACATGAAAATGAAAAGTGGGACCAAACCAAGTGTGTATACAGTTCCAGATATTCTGAATACAGTGTTTTTTGCTGCGGTATTGAAAGCATGTAAACATAGCAGCTCAGAAAGTGTGTTATTGCAACTACTCCCTTGTTTTGTAGGTCAGACGGGTCAGGACGACGAAATCCGAATCATTGGAGGAGTGCAGCCTGCCCCAAATTCTATAAAGTATATAGTTTCTATACAGACGCGACTACGCCAGCACTTCTGCGGAGGCTCACTCATAACCAAGTACTGGGTCCTCACGGCAGCACACTGTAATAAAGGGTAAGTCATCACACATATTTATCTACAGACAGAAACAAAACACACTAAGAGCACTTAAAGGTCCTACATTATGACAACTTGACTGATGTGAACTATAAGCCATGTTATAATGTTATAATGTTTTGTTTCATTCCCACATCTCTAAAGCTCAAAATGTTCTCTTCCACTTTGTCATGTCATTTTCAAGTGAACACCTTCTTTTACCTTTTGTTCAGTAGAAATGGGCAATTCCAGGCCTGACATTATCTAAAGGAATCTAGTGAATTATGGTGTGTAAAAACACAGTGGAGCACTACCCGTTTTACCATATGACATCACAAGGTGATCACAGTCATAGCCAATCACAGTAGTAGCCTGGTAAATAGCGTAGTAACCTCACAGTAGTAAAGTCCTGGTTTTTCACAAACAAAATAGTCTAAAATAAGATGAAGTACATCTGTCGCTGATGCCATGTTTGTTTTGAGCGCTTCACCTTTAACTTCTGCACAAACCTCAGTGCTGCTCTGTGATTGGTTGCCCACCACCTGCAGCAGGTCCTATCACAAGATGCCAAGATGGATTCTCATGAGTTTGTGAACTCACAAAAATCAGGAGAAACCATCTTGCTGTGCAAGGTTACATTAAAGCCTGAGTTCATAACTTTTTAGCCAAAAAATCCACATTTACACATTTAAACACAATTATGGTTTAAGTTTCAAATAAATGTTAATATTATGAGGATATAATCTGGCCAGGCTGGCGCCACCTAGTACCTCCGCTCAATTTCATTTCTCTCCACCAACTAGGTCAGGAATCTGAATACACTAGATGGTTTGCAAAAACCCTGGAAGTTGTAGACAATCAGCTTAAAGCTGTGAAGCCATGACTGTGTCCCTTTTGTGGAACAGCACAACAGTAAACAAAGCGGCAAAATGGATGTAGATGAAGACAGACATTCTGTGTTGGCAACGATTCCCAAGATCGAGGATTTAAAGCCAGAAGAAAGAGAATGTTTGGTGAATTTTATCAAATTCCCTTCTTTCTAAGGGATTTGGGAAAAGCTTAATATACCAGTTAGCTCCGTTAGCGGTGCATTACATACGTCACAACTAAACAGCAGCGATTAGTTAAATGAAAAAGTACCCACTTACCGTTGAGTGAACAAATCCTAATGCTGTGAGGTCAGACGGTTTCCACGAAGTGAAACCGGATGATTACTCAGGCTAGATATAACCTGACCCTGCTGCAGATCTGTCCTCAGTGCCCCTAATCTGACTCCATGTTTTGTAAATATGCAAAGACAGTCTGAGCAGAAGATCCGTCCTCTCTGAGCCAGATCAGATTGTCAATTGATGAGATTTCAGAGCATAATAAAGCTATGATTACAAAAGACAAAGGACCCACATGAAAATGATCAGGGCCAGTCTCTAAGGCCTTTTAAGTCCTTTAATTTCTGATGCTAAAATAATACAACATAATACCACCCTATCTGGGCGGATATGAGAACCATGTCAGTGCTATTGTGTATAACTACGTCATTCTTCCCAATGCAATGTCATCAATACGAACATTTCTAAAATAGATACTGTATCTCTGCTTCAAGTAGTTTTTAACATATTTTTGCAACCTTTCTTCACAAACTACTTCTTCTTTGCTCAGCGACCCCTAGGTCTTGACTGGGACACAACTGAAGAAGCTACTTGGATTTTATTTACTTATTTATTTATTTATTTGATTGGGACAAACATGTTAATGAACAAACATGACATAACATGAACGTAAACACACCAGATTGTAGCTGGATTAGCAGCAAAAAACTCTTAAAACAGAATTGAACTCAGAAAAACTCTTTGACAGAATTGAACATTTTTTGGCCAATTTTAGGAACAAAGCAGATTTTGCATGGTTTACCTAGAGGGCTGGTCATAATTCAGTATTAGTTTGGTAGATTATATGGTATTGGCTTTATTGCAGATTTTTTGTCCTGGTTTATGATTAATATTTCTAGAATCACTGGTGAATCACAAAAGGCATCATTGGCTGCGATTACATGCACACTCAAAATCAGATAACAACCAGATTTTTTAATTTATTCATTTGAATTAATTAATTTATTTGTTGTTTTTTTGGTCTTGTGTCTTTGTGTGTGTCTGCGCTTTATGTATAAAAGCAATTTTTGATTCTGACATGTTAAACAGTTGAAGATGATAACAATAAATTACTAATCACAAAACAAACAGATTTTTAGAGTTCAAAACTATTAAAATGGCAAATAAACAGCAAAAGCATCTCACTTCCACCTCAGATTTTGTGGTTCGCATATTTTTATAGCACATTTCGTTTCCAAAGTGCTGCACAATGCAAATAAAACATATCCAATAGAAGTATAAAATAAGCCTCTACTTATCTCCACTGGTTAAGACAATAAAAGCAGGAAAATAAAATAAGAGCAAAAAATACCAATAAATAATAAAAAGGTAAAAAAATCACACAACCCACGTGGTGTTAAAAGCCAAAGAGTAAAGTCAATCTTAAGACGAGACTTTAAAAAAAACCTCTGTCATCTTAAAGGTTCAGAAATCAGATTATGACCAGACTTTGTTGTGCATGTAAACGAGGCCAGTGTTCTTAGCTGAAAGGACACAAGATTAATGTTTAATTATTAGATGAATTCATGTGTTTTTTGTTTTTTTTTACTCTATTCATTGTGTGTTAGGAACGAAAACTATTAATGTCTGTATGAAAACATTCTTAATTTAAAGTTATACACTTCAGAATAACTCCAGTACACTCACCACACTTCGAAAAACCACAAAGATCCCAGGAGAATTAACTCAGTGCCGGGGAGTTTCCAGGGTAACCTCTTGGTTGAGTGTCGTCCTTTATTACAAACATCAGCGGTGTTACTTGACCCCTGCATGACCCTGATGTCAGGTTAGGCCTCCACATGACCTTTGCCTCGACTTACGGAACCCTGAAACTTGAAAACGGCCATCAATAATTCACCAGCCCATCCTGAGTCGTGGCACGTTCTTTTTCTGTTACAATCTATTCCTGTAACTACACAGCAAAAAAGACACTTCAAGCTTTGGTTAAATGACATGAATTTAAATTATAAACTGAATTTGAGTATTTTAGACTTTCATTTGCTTATGGTGGAGATTATTTCATTTGTTCCCTTAAATGTTGACAGTTTCTACACTAACTTCACCCTGTCCACTGCCTCATCTGTCTGGATCCATTGTGCACAGAGACACTTTAGTCTGAACTGACCTTACCGTACAAACATATGCGACAATAAAGCACTTTAAAAACTTTACAGCTGGTCAACGTGCTGTACACAAATACTGAAGAGCAGAGACGACCACAATCAGTCACAATGCAACTTTCAATAACATCTAAAACAATAAGACACAAGTTCCTCAAGTTACAACGAGAAAATCTAAATTTCATCACTTAAAAGCTTGTGAAGAAAGGTGCATTTCTAAGAGTGATTTAAAAACAGTTAGGGACTCAGTTTGCAATTTAAAAATGTTTAGAAATGTATGTTGTGGATGATGACAACTGTAACTGCTTACTAAAATAAAGTTAAAGATGTTACTGAACTGGTCTTGGTCATGACTAACTTAGCTGGAGGACTAGAACAGGACCAAGCCAAGTGTCCATCAGGACCAAACCAGGACTAGACCAGGACCAAGCCAAGTGTCCATCAGGACCAAACCAGGACTAGACCAGGACCAAGCCAAGTGATCAGGACCAAACCAGGACTAGACCAGGACCAAGCCAAGTGTCCATCAGGACCAAACCAGGACTAGAACAGGACCAAGCCAAGTGTCCATCAGGACCAAACCAGGACTAGACCAGGACCAAGCCAAGCCAACATCAGGACTAAACCAGGACTAGAACAGGATCAAACCAAGCCAACATCAGGACCAAACCAGAACTAGAACAGGACCAAGCCATGCCAACATCAGGACCAAACCAGAACTAGAACAGGACCAAGCCAAGCCAACATCAGGACTAAACCAGGACTAGAACAGGACCAAGCCAAGTCAACATCAGGACTAAACCAGGACTAAACCAGGACCAAGCCAAGCCAACATCAGGACTAAACCAGGACTAGACCAGGACCAAGCCAAGCCAACATCAGGAGTAAACCAGGACAAGACCAGGACCAAGCCAAGCCAACATCAGGACTAAACCAGGACTAGACCAGGACCAAGCCAAGCCAACATCAGGACTAAACCAGGACTAGAACAGGACCAAGCCAAGCCAACATCAGGACTAAACCAGGACTAAACCAGGACTAGGACAGGGCCAAGGCAACATCGCCACCTAGTGCCTCCGCTCAATTTCATTTCTCTCCAGCGACTAGGTCAAGAATCAGACAATAGACGGTTCGCAAAAACCCCAGAAGTACAAGTTCAGGCACCAGCCAATTAGCGAAGAGCCAGACATTCAGTGTTGTCAACGATTCCTGAGATCGAGGATTTAAAGACAGAGTAAAGTGAAGGTTTGGTGAATTTTATCAAGGAGAAAGACATTATTGCCCTTCTTCTTATGGCATTTGGGAAAAGCTTAATATACCAGTTAGCCCTGTTAGTGGTGCATTACATATGCACGACCAAATAACAGTGATTTGTTAAATGATAAAGAGTACCTGCCTACCATCAAGCAAACAAATTCTAACACTGCAAGGTCAGACAGTTTCTACGAAATTAAACAAAGTGAAACCGGTTGATGAATCAGGCTAAAACTTATGTTCACTACCGGTCAAAAGTTTTAGAACACCACACTTTTTCTAGTTTATTGTTTACCATTTACCGTTGGCCAAAACGTATTCTAAACTTTTGATTCATGAAAGTGTCCACCTTTGGCAGATAGAACAGCTGAACACACTCGTGGCTCGTTCTTTTTACAATACAAATCAAATATTGTTCAGAAAGTTCTTCCCAAGTCTGTTGCAGAAGTTTCCATAAATGTGTGGCACTTGTAGGTAACTTCACTCTTCTGTCCAGTTCATCCCAAACCAGCTCCATGGGGTTTAAGTCTGGACACTGTGCTGGACCCTCCATGTTTTCAAGTTTACCATTTTGTTCTTTTTTTCATGAGGTAGTTTTGGCAGAGTTTGGACTTGTGTTTTGTATCTTTTATCTTTTTTTTTTTTTAACCTCTGCCTGTTCAGTTCTTACCGTTTCAAGCTCTTCATTGGACTTGAACAACTTGAATTGCAATAAATAACTGGAAAAATGTGGGTGTTCTAAATAGGGGTGTGCAAAAATATTGAAATATTGATATATCGTATCGTTTAATGTGATGATACAGTATCGATATCATGGACTGCTGTATCGATATATCACCAAGAGTATTTTTGGTATATTTTACTAAATTATTTTGTTACAGAGCTACAGTTTTGGTGCTTGTTTAGATTAAGGTATTTGGTAAGACTTTGTATAATTTGGAATCATAGACGAGCCTAAATGTTTCAAATGTAATGCACATGCAAACATATAATATCAAATATACAAACTGTAGTCGAGTCTCAGGTCTGATCTGATTCTGGTCTGGTTCCTGTTTTGTTCAGTTCATTAAGTTTACTAAGTTACACATTCCAAGACCAGACTGTGAAATGTCAAGATTTTCAACAATGATGGTGCATGGTTAGAAAAGTTAATACAAAATTTTAAGTTTTGGACATTTGATTTTTCACACTAAGTTCAGCTCAAATACATCCCCCCAAACATCCTGGATCTTATTCTTTGCTCTTAGTTCATTTCATAATTTTTATAGAACTATCGGATCGGGACTCGGTATCGGCAGATACTCAAAATCAAAGGACTCGGACTCGGGGGCAAAAAAATGTGATCGGGACATCCCGGGACAAGCAATTCTACCTGTGTGTTTGAATAATACCAACATTTTTAATACTAAAGTGAAAAAATAGAACTTCTTCATTTATCTATACTGACAGAGAAGTTTTTGCTTCATGTAGATAGGCCCAGTAATTACAAACCACAAACCAGGAGAAACGTCTGCATTTTGACAATTAAAAGACAAATGCTACCATAGAATTCAGACCTGTCCTACAGCTCCATTTTTAACCATGGGCAGTTTGGAACATTGAGATTTCACATAAACTCAACTCACTGACTCAAACTTGTTTTGCATTTGTGAACTGTACCCATGTTGTTGCTTTCTGTTGCAGGATAGACAACATGATGGTGGTGGCTGGAGATTACACTCGGGGCATCTATGAAGGCACAGAGCAGGAGATCTTCCCCCAGGTTTTGATACCTCATCCTGAATACAACAGTGTGACCAACAACAATGATATTATGCTTATAAAGGTATTTCAGAACAAATAGAGATTACATAAAACATGATATTATCTTTCCGCTTCTGGCTGCTTGTTCTTGTGATCCTCCTCTGCAACCCTACATCCCCCTCAAAACATGGCTTCTTCATGTCTTACTGAGTGTCTTAGTGTTCTTCATGCACTGCAGCCTCTCTCACACTGCTCCTGGGCCAGCTGTGAGTGCAGGGTGCGAGGGGTTTTGTTCTGGTGTGACATTCACACAGAGAGCTCTATTCTGTTGTGCTCTTGTGTCATTAACCATTTAATTAGGGTAAAAGGCATCAGTGAGCTTCAGTGTTAGGCCAGAATACTGTGACACCTCAGTGGCACCCCCTGTGGCACCTGTGGACACCACGCCATGCGGCCTGGGCTCCTCTTGTTACTTTTAATTATTCTCAGTACTTGTGTCCGCTGCACCGAAGCTGCCCCAGCAGATCACAGAGTACACAATGACACTGAGCACTGTCCTGCAGATGTCAAAGGACCTCAGCCTCCTCAGAAAGTAGAGGCAGCTCTGGCTCTTCCTGTAGACAGCATCTGCATCCTTCCCACTGTTCAGTTTATTCCAAAGTCCAAGCACATCCCCAGGGACTTGTACTCCACCAGACTTGCACTGATTAGAAGTTTCTGTTGTACATTAGCCATTGCTGTTTTTCAAAAATCAAAAATGTGTGATAAAAATCACATTGCTGTGTCTTTTACCTGTTGCAGACTTGTATAATGAACCATGTGAATCATATTACACTTTAAAAGAAGAGCTTATTAGATTGGTCCTCCTTGCTTCAATACTATGGAAAAAAGATTCTTTCATGTAAATTTGTGAATTTGTGAGAGCCAGGAAGTAGTTTGATATAATTAAACCTCCTTTCATGGTTTGAAAATCAGGTACTTCAGCTTTGATCAGGTTTGTAATGTAATGTACCTGTTCTCTTCAGCTCCAAGTGCCGGTGTGGCTGAATAACTACATCTCAATCATCGTCCTGCCTCGTCAGGATGCCACCCGCGCCCCAGGGTCCATGTGTCGTGTGTCAGGGTGGGGCAGCACCCGACCACAAGGAGGCAGTATACCCTCTGTCCTACAAACCGTCAAACTGCCCATTGTGTCCTCAGAACAGTGCAACAGCAGCATGTCGTACAACGGCTCCATCACGAAGCACATGATCTGTGCTGGATACAGTACCGGAGGGAAGGACGCCTGTCAGGTAATGGTTCACTTTAGTATAATGTTTATGTCAGGATTAAACAATCAGGAGCGGTGTGTTACACTGTTGTAATGCACTGCAGCTATGTGGTCACTGAGGGCCACAGTGCTTGTCATTTTATTTCAAATCTGTTCAAATCACCACAGGTTAGTAAAATATTTTATAGGATTATAGGAGTTTAAATGTGTTTTTAGGACCGCAACTACATTATGGACGTAGCTGGTTAACCTCCAAGGATGTTATGATGCTGGAATCTTTCATTAAGTCTATTGGGTAAAATAAGCTGCATAGACAGCGGCTAAAAACACATCTTTATGTAGCTCCTTTAGTGCAAGTCTTGGTCTAATAGTTTAATGACTGTAATAAAGTTTATCATGTTTATTATATTATCAAATGCTAAGAGCACAGTCTTGGCATGGTTTACTGAATCACTCAAAAAGAGCACACCAACTCTGCTGAAGCTTACACCGATAATTTTCCCTTTCAGTAACAAGACAAGCTGTCTTTATATAACTGAACTTGCTCATTTTATGCCCTGTAGTCTTTATTAGATCCTTCGGGGCAAAGATTAATCGCAATTGAAACAAAACCTGTATAATGTCTGTATTATGTATCATTTACACCTCTCCAAACAAAGCTAGACGCGCCTCCACGCAGTCACTGGACGACCTGCAGAGCACCAGTAGCAATGCACGCCTGGCAAAGCATAAATCATGTGAACCTTAGGATGGATATTTCCTGCATAAAAGATCATGAGTCACATGGCTTTGCCGTGCTTTGTTCAGCCCTGGACCAACCATAAGTTGGACACCTTCTCTGTCCTCATTGATGAGGATGAGATGCAGAAAAAACCTGGATGGAGTTACTCACAAAGTAGGGTTTCCTTGTCGGTTTCACACAAGATGTCGACCGCTGGGTACACCATGGAGCAGAGCAGGGCGAAAAGCTCATGTACAAGAAGATTAAAGACAATAATAACTCTTTTAAATGGCAGTGTCAATGAGTCAGTGCATATATCACGCCAACAAATTGCACAAACTTGTGCTGAAACTCACTTTTAACATGTCTTTTCCACATGTCCAAATAAAGCACATGTCATCTTACCACTAAAACAGAAGAGGCGAAGAAAAAAATGTGTCTCATCCGAAAACACAAAATGCAATAAAGTGCATAATAATAAATCCTCATCCAGTCACAGTCTGCAGTGTCCACGTAAACCTGAAGCTAAACAGATAACATGAACCAAACTCTGGCAAAATCCTCCTCTTCCTCAGCCATAGTGACTTCACTATTGTGAAAGATGCATTTACTGATTTAAAATAGTCCAGACCCCCTCATTCTTGACATAATACCTACAAAGAGATGGTAAAAATAACCAGTATGCCGAGGGCACCAGCCGAGCTTGGGCCGGCACTGCTGCTCCCACGCCACATGTCGGAAACATCAAAGGTCATGACTAGACGACTAGATGACGCATGTTACCGAACACTCAAAGCCTGACTTGATCCCATTGTAAAGATTCCTTGCTGTTCCTCTCTGTAATGTGATCCTCTCTGTTGTTTTCAGGGGGATTCTGGTGGTCCGCTGGTTTGTGACGGCCTGTTGTACGGCATCGTATCCTGGGGCATTGGCTGCGCTATGCCTACCTTTCCTGGAGTCTACACGGCCGTGTCCAACTACCGCGCGTGGATAGAAGACGCTGTGTTTAGCTTTTATAGGAGGTGTAACTAACTTTATCTGACCAAGGTTTTCAAAACAACACTGTCTCTGTACACTGCAAAAAAGTATAATATCTACTGTAGGTTTAAATCATTTGAAATAAGAAAATCAATCTGGATATGAGCAGGTTTGACTTGACCTTTCACAGCAAATATCTCAGGCTATTTGTTAGATAAGAATTCACAAACTCATGACAATTCACCAACTGTAAGGTTAATCAGGTGAGAGGACCAATCACGTCGCAGCATTAAGGTTTGTTGGGACACCAAAGGCCAAGCACCCAAACAAACCCAAACAAACATGGCGACACCGACAGACATACTTCAGCCTGTTTTAGAAAAAATACAGACTGTTTTGTTTATGGAAAAAGTGTAGAGGTTGAGAGATTATTTGTGGACAGGGAAGATGTCTGTGCTTTTCTCTCAACTGGATGTAACTAAATTTAGATTTTCTTTTGGTTTGTTCCACCGTTATGACACTTCAGCCAACAGATTCAAATAGTCATCATGAGAGCCGTTTCAGACTGATAATGTGAACTTAATTCAGAGTGCTATATATATCTGTCACAAACCAGGTAAGGTTTGACTGGGTTACATAAAAGCTACACATTTTGCAAAATTGACTTTTATGAACTTTTAACCATGGTTTAACAGTGTTCCCTTATGGTTAATAATTGTCCTGCTTTAGTCTTGAGAGCTCAGAAAATGTCTGTTTTCACCTATCCCCTCTCTGTACTGCAGTTATAGTTATATATATATATATATATATATATATATATATATATATATACACACACACACACACAAGAAAAGGCCTCTATGAAGTGTTGAACAGGAAAACTACAAATATTGTAGTTAACAATTTAAACTGGTGATCAGTTATATTACCATTTAATATTTAATACCAAAAAGAGCCTCTTCTCTCTTCTTTAAAGACACACTATGTAACTTTTTTGGTGGAGGGTCGAAGTCAAACCTGCTGAAATGAAGACAAATGTCTTTATCTAAAAAAAATGAGTAGATTATTTCTTTTTGCAGAGTACCTCCTTATTGACATGCTCTTTGGCTGTTAATTGTGCCCATTTAATGTTAGGTGTTGTGTTTTGAGCTTGAATGCAGACTGTACATTCCGGTGTTCACCTATTTAACACATTTCCACAGCTACAGGGCTGTTATTGCTGCAAAAAGATTTGTGCATCTGTAATGCAATAGTCAGTTGTCTGCGATTCAGTTTCATTAGAAGTCAAGTCTGCAAGACTAAACTCTGAGCATAATATCTTTCGTCACACTCCAGACCAAATGCTGGGCAGGACTGTAGCTTATGTTTAGTGTGTCATTACAACTTTTAGCTCATCTACTTTCTAAACATGATCATTTCAAGTGCATTTGACACTTTAGACTATATATTTCATTTAACTGTAGATAATTATATTCAAGATTTAGCCTGGACTTCCTGCTTTAGCAAGACTTCCTGCTTGGACTGTTGTGTGTGGATGACAGAGATTATGATACCCCTGTACTTCCTGTATTTATCGTCATATTTTACTATCAAATGACATATTCATTACAAAAAACAAGTCCTCTTTCATGCAGTTACGCACAAATTATATTATGCCATTTTTTATTACAGACAAATCAAATAACAGATGCAGAAATATTTTCGCACCAATCATAACTCTACACCAGGCGTCTCCAACCCTGTTTCTCCAGGGGGCCACCTTCACAAAACAAAAATGCAGCAAGCTACCAGTTTCAGCAGTCTCAAAGAAATGGAGTAAATAGAAGATCCACAGTAATAGATGGGGAACAGTTAGATGCTTATAAAACACAAACCCTTATCAAATTGTACTTATTGTGCACAATACATAGAATTCAGAAATCCCTTGGTGAGCTACTTTAAAAGGAGTGGAGAGCTGCTTGTAGTTCCCGAGGTCCCTGCTCTACACTAACCAAGTATAATGACTATTTGACTGTGCATTTTCATAATTTCAGAAACAAGGTGCCATATCCCTGCTTTATAAATCCGTGCTTCCCAAGTGAGTCTTGTAAAAGAGTAGCCGAAATGCACAAATATGCAACTCCACACATAGTGGAATATAGTAGACACATAGTATATAACTTAAAACTTGCATTGTCGAAATATATACTGAATATATATTAAAATAGAGCCGACCTGTAGCATATTAGTGAACTGTATTAAGTGGTTATGGTAGGAGTAATTACAGCATATTGCACAAAGGTTTTTAATCATTCTGATATATAATCACTTTAAAACTACTGTATCTCCACATATAGACGTGGACACAACTGTTGGTACCCCTTTGGCAATGAAAGAAAAATCAACAATCACTGAAATAACATAAAACTGATAAAAGCAATCATAAATAAAATTTACTAAAAATTAACCAACGAAAATCAAACATTGTTTTTCCCCTGTGGTTCAACAGAATTATTAGAAAAAACAAAATAAGGAAACTGGCCTGGACAAAAATGATGGTACCCTTAACTTTATATTTTTTTACACAACCTTTTGTTCCAAACTCTGCAATCAAACGGTTTCTGTAACTGTCAGTGAGACTTCTGCTTTGGTCAACAGGTTTTTTGACCCACTTCACATCAGCAAACTGTTGTAGTTGCCTCAGGTTTGGTCCAGTGTTTTGATCTTAGTCATTCTTGTGTGTTTTTCGCTGTGTGTTTTGGGTCATTATCATGTTGAAAGTCCCATGACCTACAACTGAGACCGAGCTTTCTGACACTAGGCAACACATTTCTTTCCAAAATACCTTGACAGTTTTGAGATTCCGTTGTACCTTGCACAGATTCAAGACACACTGAGCCAGATGCAGCAAAACAGCCCCAGAACAAAACCAAACCTCCTCCATGTTTCACAGTAGGGACAGTGTTTTTTCTTGGTGTGTTTCATTTTTGCGTCTGTGAACATAGAGCTGATGTGTCTTGCCAAAGAGCTCTAGTTTTGTCTCATCTGTCCAAAGAACATTCTCCCAGAAGCTTTGTGGATTGTCAAAATGCATCATGGCAAATTCCAGTTTCAGTTTTTTATGATTTACTTTCCAACAGTGGTGTCCTCACATGAAGTCCACTTTGGCTCAAACGGTGATGGATGGTGTGATCTGACACTCATGTACTTTGCCCTTTGACATTTAATTTGTTTGGAGGTTGTTCTGGGCTCTTTGGTTCCATTCGTATGATCCATCGCTTCAATTTCTCATCAGTTTTCCTCTTGCGGCCGCGTCCAGGGAGGTTGGCTACAGTCCTGTGGTGGTCCTGATGGTCTTATTGTCTTTATCTTTATCCTGTTTGTCTATCATTTTCTTTCTAGTCTCCTGACACAGTTCTCTTCTCCTCTTTTTCTGGTCCATGTTCAGTGTTGTGTCCATCATGTCTCCAAACAGCACAATGACACATGTCGCCCTTTAAACAGACAGACTGACTGAGGACAAGTCTGAAGAACCTGTGATGCAGATTAGAGACACACTGAAGTTTAACATGTCCCTATTGTCCAAGTATTTACAATCTTTTGTAGGGGAACCATCATTTTTGTCCAGGCCAGTTTCATTAGTTTTTAAAAAAAAATTATTCTACTGAACAACAATTCAAAAACAGTGTCTGATTTTCATTGGTTATTTTTCAATAAATTTTGATTTATTATTGCTTTTCTGTGTTTCGAGTTATTTCAGTGATTATAGTTGATTTGTCTTTCATTATCAGAGGGGTACCAACAATTTTGAACACGTTTGTATGTATAAGAAGGGCATGACATTGACAACAGCTGAGTGGCCATTTTGGACATATATTTTAGTTCGTCATTTTACTACAGTGTAAGTTGCTTCTGATCTGTTATAATGTTGTTTCCTCATCACAGATATACATGAAGTTGTGTTTTGTTTCATGTTTAACACAAATTATGCATATTTAGGCTGAGTTCTTCTCTCAAAAAAAAAAAAAAACTCAGAAAAAACCCTGCTCCACTTTATGATGTCATGTGGTAATACAGGAAGTACTCCAGTGTTTTCTGTATCTAAATTGTGGCTGACACAACTTTAAAATAGCAAGTAACTTAAAGAGGGAGCTTTCTACCATGTTATAAGATTGTTCCCTCATCAAAAACATGCCTGAAGAGGTTTTAGATGTCGTCCGTGCGTGTTTGAGTAATCCAGTGATCTCTCAAACCCTTCTTATGTCTTAGCAGTACGACCTTTTCCAAAACTCAGCCCACAAGCCCACAAACCCATGGCCCAACATGACAACTGTCCATAAATATACGAAAACATGATACAAAACTATACACTACAACTTCACAAACCTGATGCGATGTGCAATAGTCTCAATATGTTATGTGTTAGCGGTTAATACTCCATAAAATGTAACAGTCCCTCTTTAAAGTCACTGTAGAAGCTCTTTCAGAACCACAGTGGCCACTAAACTCAAGTGAATGTCTTGTATGTAACTGTGTACAAAAGTATGAACGGTGGAGGACAGCTGCTGCTTTACTGTACGTAGTTTTAGTTCATTATAACATATTATATCATGGTATAAGGATAAAATATAAAAGCTGTATATTCTAGTGTTAGTATGGACAACATCTGCCAACATCTTCCACAGGGTAGTGCTATGAACCCAAGCACTATTTGTGACGCACCTTTGAGTGAGAGTGGGTAAACTCATGGTATGACTGACTATGACTAACTGTAGTGTTGTTTTATATCACATGTTATTAAATGCCTTATTGCATCATGGATTCAGTGTCTGTCTTTTATTTAAAGGGCCCGTATTACCATGTTTTCTGATCTATATTTTTGTTTGTTTGTTTTGTTTCATTTACGCACAAACCCTGCTAATTTAGGCCCTTTAGAGTCCTTCACTGGAATCATTTGGATAAGTTCAGCTCTGGAATTGCCTGTCAAAAGCTGTTGCAGATCACATATTGTGCTGGAGCCTGGTGTATAGTTATAATTCACGACACCTGTGGATCATAATGTTATAATGTTCACATTTTAAATTGCAGTATTTATCTAAAATGACTTAAAGAAATAGTGCACAGACTTCTGCTTTAGAACACTGTGGTGCCCAGTAGGAGCTGACATCACTGTAAACATCACCATGAACAGAGTCGGGGTTATGGATTAGTTGGAGCCAGTGTGTAAATGGCTCATATCACAAACGCCACAGAGCACTGTCCTCTGCAGACAGACACACTGGCATCTGTGCAGAGACCTGTCCCAGAACCTCTGGGGTGCAGTTTGAAGTGAAGATGTGGAATTTATAAACTCATCTGCACTAAAGGAATCTGTGATCAGTGAAGTTTGTATCTGTGACACACAGTTTGTCTTGTCTCCACTGGAGTCAGTGCAAACAGGCCGTGTCAGTTCAGAGACTTAGAGCTACATTCACTCTCAAACATTCTGACACACCCGCTTTGGATGATTTAATAAAATAATACGCACTCAAAAGAAACACAGATACAGCGTTTCTACAAAAATATTCT